TGTTTGGGATATCATTTCGCTTATTACCAGGTACCACTCTTGATCCCACAGTTCATCATTGAACATTAGCTTCGAGTCTTCAGGATCGTTCAATCCAAATAGTCGCCAATCCTTATCATCTTCCATTACGCTGTTCAAGCGATACTGATCTACCTCCAGCCTCTTCTCTCTTATCAAAGGTTTCTCTGAATCGAAGTTAGATAATGGCACGTAATCACGTTTGTGTCGCTCGACCGCCCTCTGTCGATCCGCCCAAATGATCTTCGCAACGGAAAAATCGTGTCAGTGGAGTCAAACATCGTGGCACCCAAAAGAAATTCACCATTGAACGAAATTACCTTGGTGCTCGAATTGAGTGCCTTCGTTAAACGAACTCCGCCTCTTTTCTGGTATCCATTGCCATCATCTTGGAGCCATTTGTACGTGTCCTCGAATCCTAGAACCTGTACGAAATCATAATTCAATATATATGTACGTATCTTTAAATCTAGTCCTCCCTGTCAAACATTTATTAGCCTGCACTGAAAAACTTAATGAAATACTTCGGACGAGATCGTAATCTTCGTGGAAGAGCATGGGACGTGAAATGAAAACATTTGCACCGATGGTTCACCGCAGGCCCTCGAATCGAGCATCTAGAGTGCTCGAGCGTCAAGGGTGCGCTACGACGTCGCGACGTTTCAGCCCTTCGAACGATCAAAAGGGACGCATCGAACAGGATAGCATGAACGGAAGGTTGGTTGTCCCGATATTACATATACATGTACAGGAAAGACACCGAGATAGATGAAGCAGTAGGACAGAGTAGCAACTGACTTTGGGGGGCTATGTGACGCGTGGAATACGGCAGCATTATTATTACTCAGGCGCCACGTGGTGCACTTTTATGGTATCCGCATGTGGTGTCGACGTTTCCCCATAGTAGGAAGGGGGACCACCTGGTCGAAGTCAGTCATGAGGGAAACCACGATATGTAACGAGCAACGTGTGCCTCTTATTTTTTACCTCCTTTCGTTCGAATTTTCTGATCTGCTACTCCTGATAGTTTATCGATCCGCCTGGCTGGCCTGATTGATGATCCTAGCCACTGCGCGTGCATGTAGGACACAAATACTAACGTGAATACGCGACGAGAGTTTGCAGGTGTAAAACGAGCACTGTTTATGATCGTAGAAAAAAAGTAAATATAATTAGACAAATTTTTGTGTATCCTGTGACTACGGACAGCTATTAGGTTTTTCCCGTTTCCCGGTTTTTAATTGCTAATTGGAAACTTTTAAGCAGTCGATACGCGCGATATGGCAAATAGAACGTAGCGCTGTTATTCGAATAATAACAAAAAGATTCATTTTAAAGAGAACGTTACACATGTTTTTAATGTTACGAGCACCAATTGCAAATATTAGATCGCCCAATCGATTACGAGTGTAGCATAAAAACACGCGTTTTAACGTGTATCTGTTCTCCTTGTGGATATAACGTTAAATCACGTTTCTATATTTGCTGATTACGCAATCGATATGCCGTGGAAAAAGTTATTCATTAGTGAAGGATAGCAAAAAGCATAAAAGCGTACTATCAAAAGTAGAAATATTTTTATACAAGTGTTCTGCATTCATAACATACGTATTATTATCGCATTTGTTTTTTGTTGATAATTCAGAATTTTTGTTGCAATTAATTATCAGCCGTAAATATGTGAATGAATTTACTCGGATAACGATAACCGATTTAACACCGGAAGGACGGAGACGATGATTATTCCATTTCACAGAATATTAGTATGTGTCCGCGGTGTGGGTTTAACTGTAAATGTTGCCATTGTATTGCATCACCACAATGGAAACAAAGAGTACAGAAATCCGCGGAGCCAGCTGTGAAACAATGATCTTGTGTCGCAAAGGAAAGTCAATAATTCCGCATCCATTATATCTACGTATTCCCGTCAGAGGGGGAATGGATCCAATCGGTCGTTGTTGTTGAGCCGAACGATAAACGATCGTATGTATTCTCAACAACGATAGATGCATGTTCGTTCGTTTTTTAGCGCTTTTTTNCTCGGATAACGATAACCGATTTAACACCGGAAGGACGGAGACGATGATTATTCCATTTCACAGAATATTAGTATGTGTCCGCGGTGTGGGTTTAACTGTAAATGTTGCCATTGTATTGCATCACCACAATGGAAACAAAGAGTACAGAAATCCGCGGAGCCAGCTGTGAAACAATGATCTTGTGTCGCAAAGGAAAGTCAATAATTCCGCATCCATTATATCTACGTATTCCCGTCAGAGGGGGAATGGATCCAATCGGTCGTTGTTGTTGAGCCGAACGATAAACGATCGTATGTATTCTCAACAACGATAGATGCATGTTCGTTCGTTTTTTAGCGCTTTTTTTGTCTGTTTGTCTGTCCGTTTTTTGATTTCTATCTTTTTTGTATTTTTTTCCGGACAGCGGAAGGGGGTAACAGGACAACGCGACGGGGTGGTTCAGTTCGGACGCGCGGATAAAAACGATCATGCGTGCGAACGATCGCGTAAGCAGCTACCAATTTTTGCATCGGTGACAGTGACTGGTGCATGTATCTACGTTATCGCGATTTCCGGTGCCAACAGGAAGTCGAATACCGTCCCGATTTACATCCGCGGTAGCCCCAAATAATTTCACCGTTTAAGATGATTTATCGACGACGATATCGTTTCCTGGAAACTCTACTTCCCTTTCAGTTGCAATTTATAAAACGGAATTAACAGAAATTCGCGCGCAGGATTCTTATAATCCCAATGGCCCGACTGTTTTCAAACTGTTTTTTAGGAGAGGATAGGACGATAGGAAGTACGAAATAGGACACGTTCGACGCGGCGCGCTCCGCTTAAATTCCACGTGGGAACGCTTCCGACTCGAATCCGTCTGTTACGTGATAATGGCTCCTGTTCCCTTCGTCCCCGTGGCAATCGACGCTCGACGCTGTCCGAAACTACCCTCGAGACGAATACTGTCGCCTCCTCTCTTGTTTGTTAACCTGCCACTTCCAAATCGTCATGACACGATCCATTCGTGTAGGCGAGCGAACGAGCCCGAGGCCTCATCCAGATAGAAGAGCGAAAAATCAAAGAGCCGGTCATCACTTCGCGATCACCGATTCGTCTTACCGGTTTCGTCGAATTATACGAGACCGTCTCTTTCTTTCTCTCCGGCGAGGAAAATCGGTGAGTTCGAGGCTATCCAGGTCGATCTGTAACAGTCTTCCAGCAAACGACTGATTCTAGATGCTCCACGAGGGGGTGGGTAAAGAGAGAGAAGGGGGGAGAGAGAGAG